AAATTGTATTGGAATATTTAATTACGGAAAATGCATGTTTCACCAGAATGAAAATGACAATTTTTTAAGACTGATGCACGTATAAAAATGAATGTTGCAAGATGTAATAAAGGAATATTAATCACGAACTTTGTAAGTGGAAACTCGTATTTGTAAGACCAAGGAAGAAAACGTTACGGTTGTCTGAGGAACGCGAGTTTTTCCTATGGCCAGGGTTCATCTCGGCCAAACGAGAAGCAGAAGGCGAAGAGAAAAAAATGCCGGTGGAAAATACGGGGAAACGCTGGTTGAAGAATGAAATGCTTGTCCTCGGAGTGCGGGACCAAGAGAACGTCTTCAGTCTGGGGAACACGGGGGCTGAGAAAGAGCGACATTTTTTCCCGGGGACAGCGAAAAGAACAAAAAACGGGGCGGAGCGAAAAGGGAGGAAAGGGGGAAAAAAAAAATGTGAGAACGAGGAGGAGGGAGGTCGAGTGCGGATGGAAAACGGGAAGGGTTGAGAAGTCAAGATGAGAGCTGGGAGGCTTCGATGCTGGCCGTGCTCTTTTGTTTGTAAACCCTTAACCGCTATCCGGATTCAGTTTTCCTCGCTGCAAATATTTTCGATTGCTTATATTTGTCCACGCGTTTCTCACTTGCATTTTCAGTAGATGTGCATTCATACTATAAATCGTGCATAGCCTGTTCAAAACACTTGGAACAGTCGCGAATGTGCCAACTTATGAACTTTTTTTTCCACTTGCCATTTCTATTTTACGATACGACAGATTTAATAAATTCTCATAAAATAATTCATACACCTCGTTGCTTTGTAATCTTTATGAAAGCCAAGACGAGGTACGCGTATCAGATCAGGTAAATTGAAGTAAATTGGAGTACGGGATCGAAACTGCGTAGCGAAGAGAACCGAACAAAAGCTTGGAATCTCTTACGGTTCCCGATCTCCTCGAGGAATATCCTCGAGGATGAAGAACGTTCCTTGAGCGCTAGGTCTAGGTTTAATAGGTAGAAAGAAGCCCCGGGAAGATTTACGCTCTTAGCAGCGAGCTTCTTTATTGAATTCGATGGCCGCTGGAGAAAATCTTTTCTAATTTTTCACTACTAAAAAGTGGAGACAGAGATTTATCGTTGACCCATTATTTCCTATTATCTCTGAACAATTACTAAGGAAACATACAATACTTATTTAAATAATTCAATCTTCTTTAATTATTTTCTGAGGGAGTACAGTAAAATATTTAAACAAAATTAAAAATTGAAAAGAATTAATAATTGAACGAACGACGAAATTAAAATTTTCCTTATATAAAAAGCGTCTCATAAAATCGAAAGTTTTATCGAGAAAGGAGCGTGGCATCTAGTCGTTATGCAACGGAAGAGAGGAACTCGGAAGAAGTTATGTTTACGGTCGATAATCGAGTCCATTAAGTTGCAGAAACTATCTGAGGACGTCGATGTATATATACATATATATATATATGTATGTACGGAGGTTCTCGATTAAAATTCAAACAAAGACTAGAGTCGATCGTCGATTCAATTACAACTTTTTCCCGCGGAGGAACTCTAGGAACGCGTACAAGAAAAAGGAAAAGCCTCGAGTCGCCTTTCGTTCAAGTTCCGCTGAGTTTCGATTAATATTCAGCCGACATAGTAAACAAGCTGATTTGCAACCAGAGAGCTCGGCTAACGAATATTTGACGATTTTACTCACCGAGTAGCCTTTTGACGGAACCTCATTTCTTTCTCGGTTGAAGCACTTAATACATAAATTCACTGCTTTAAACATGAAGCAAAATGAGCATTGAATTTATATTTAAAATCAATAACTGCACGAAAAATGTTTTAGAGCAATGTTTTATACTAATGCAGTTGCAATAATGAAACGTATAAACTCGTTCTAAGTAGTATAGACTGACATTGGTCAGACATAATTGAAATTCTATTTCTGTTATTTAATTCTGGTACGAAATGATCAAAATCATAATTTCTTAACTACCCACAATCGTAAAATGATGTTTTAAGTGGTGTGGCTTAAAATAAGTCAGACGCAGCTGAATTCTCTATTCCTAAATACCAACACCATTAATATCTCGTAAAATATAAAGCAGCTGGACGTTTTATGTTGTATTTCTTTTCGTGAACACGTGCTGAGACAAAGAACAAGTAAGAGACGATTCCCAAGACGGAAACGATTCGAAAAGTTTAAGGGGCGAGCATTTTTCCTCGTAGAACACGAAATTCTCCTTGGCCATATTTCTGGCTAGACCCAGACGTTTCTTCTCCAGTCGTCCTTTAAATCCACCCGCGCCTTGTGTTTCTCGACTATTGTCGTCCCAGCCTCGTAGCGAGATACAAAACGGGGTTGTAACTACGGTGAAAATTGCTCGGCGTCCCGTTTACACGCGATTTCGAGAGAGAAGAAAAAAATGGCAAGGAGAAAAGCGCAGTTGGAAATGGATGATTAAGGCTCGAATGTAGGACGGCGGACGATTTAATATCGCGTTTGAAATTCATTGACTGACAGAGCCGAGTATCTTTTATTCGTTGCAAATTGTATATTAAATACTGTAAAGTGAATATTGTGCTGTTCCTTGAATAACCGTGATAACGTGACTGAACTGCTGAGAGCTTTGCAGAATGTCGTAATTAGATAAGTGAAAGTAGGAACTGGACAAAAAACGGTAGATAAAATTTGTATAAAAAGATTGTTAAACTCCTGAAGGAGAGATTACTCTGATGTATACGTTGTTAATTGTTTTTATGAGACGTTAACCTCGGAAGCAATTTAATCTTAAATAAACAAGCCGCACGAAAAAAAAAGGACAAGGGATGAGAATAAAGCGAGACAAAGAAGGGAGAGGCAAAAAAGGAAAATAGATGGCGAACGGGCGGAAAACGATAGGGTGGAAAGTGCTCGCGCAGCTTTCCAACCGGATCGTTGCTGATAAAGCGCGATAAGCGACGCCGCGGCACGTTATGAGGACGGAAACGATAACGCCGGCACATTTCCAGGGAAACGTCAACTCGCTTTTCCGCCACCCAGTCTTTGCTCTTTTCCGTGGAGCCAGCATCCCCCGGGACGATTCAGAGTCCTCCAACCCCCCTCGATCCCTTTACAAACAGATATACATGCCCGGCTAATTGAACGTGTCCGCGTACCTGGATTAATCCTGCGGCCAGGATTTCGTTGTTGTTCCGCTTCCATTCTCTCTCATGTTGTCGTTGTTACACCGATAATCGTTTATCTAAAGTCCAAAGTAAACAATGCCACGATCCTATCAAAGCATTTTAAATAAGAAAGTAGAAAAGGGACGGATTTAAAAAAAATATCTTTTAGCTTGCAATATTTGAAATTATGAACACTTGAAACATTTTTTGGATAAAGATAATTTTATTTTTCTATAGCATATTAAATAGAGTTTTGTTAGAATTGGTTTCTGGAAAGCATTGATCGATATTTAGGCCTGTTCCCCATCAAAGAAGTCCTAATTTCCGTTGATTTGTCTGTCGAGAGCACAAAAGCGAACAGTCCTCGGTTCGAGATGGTATTGTCGGCTAGAAACCGCCTAATGGTTCAGGATTACCGTCGGCCCGCTCGTGAACTACTCGTCTAACGATCGCGTTCTTCGATTTCGATCCCCAGTCATTTTCCTCGAATGACTATCGTTCAGGGTATCCATTCTGAAAAGATAAGATTCTTCTTAATAAAGTTCGCAGTGTCAACTTAACCGTCTGTATACTGCTCCGGAGTCACTAGTAAACCGAGCGTTAGGAACGCAATAAGGAAGTTATACGTTTTATCGCTGTAGTTACCACTGCAGAAATCTAGTACGTGTCTTTTGATTGCGCACATGCACCCATCAGGTGTGAATCGGAGTTAGCAATGACTCCGGCATTATCACAGAAAAAATTGAATCTGAAACTAGTAGAGACTTGTACTTACAAATTTTGAAGTATAGTTTTTAAGGACGATTCATTTATTTCTATTAACCCCTTGGCCTACACGATATCTGCCAATTGCGTGAGCTATAGTAAATATGAAAGTTCTAATAATAATACTCGGCATCTTATGGACAAATTCCTCACCACGAGTTTGACTCGTGGTTATAGACCAAAGGGTTAATAAATTGTATCATTCTAATCATGATTTTGATTGTAAGAGGAAATCAATTTCTATATTCTATAGAAGCTTGAATTCTTTCTGTTGCAGGTGTTCTATGTTCCTGCGTGTATTCCTGATCAAAGTAGATCCAGCATCGAGTGATACCAGACTTTTCAGCGAGTCGTGTCTCGATTCGTATCGATAGCAAGCAAGCAAACACACGTACGCGAGAGAGGCGTACACGCACATACACACACACACAGGCAGAGGAGAGAGAGTGTCCTCTAGACTGGAGGAGAGCGCAAGTACTCGGCATGAAGGGTGAGTCCTTTGAAAGTTCTCTCTCGTTCGATGCTCGACCCACGGTCGATCGACGACCATCGATGTTTCTGACCCCTTATACGTGACCGCAACACCCTCCCACTACGCTCGCTCTATTTGTACCAGAAATTAACCAATAACCACGGACAACCTCGATTTTATCTCGATGCAATTATCGCGCACGCTGTTGCCGGGAATTTCGGGAATTTTATTCGAAATTTCAATCAAACATTTACCCAAACGATGCTCTCACAAATATCGCTAATGATTATCACGAATGAATATAACATCGATACAATTGTTATCTTTAAAAATCGTTTATCAATTCATCTAATTCTCTATTTATAATAACTGATTGTATACACGTCGGATTCGATCCATTTACAAGGATGTTCAATGTGCAGAAATGATAAATGCAACCTGTCAATCTGAGGCACGTTGTTTTAAACTGCTATCTTATTTCGCATGGAAATCCGTCATCTATTTACGTATTATTATGCTACAAACACGGAACGATATTGATTTCCGTTTCGCAAAATATATATACATCCTACCATTAATTTTTTACTCGACTTTTAACCACGGTCAGAAAAAGTCAAAGTAGATCGGTAGATGCCTCTTTAATCCGTTCTAGAACAAATTAGAGCAGCGGGAAAGTCGATGAAAAATTGTTCTCTATTCGTATCTTGGAGCATGGATCTCTAGTCCGCTAATCTAGGCTCCATTAAGAACTTCATCGAGCCTTTATCTCGGCCCGAGCGCAACGTCCGTGTTATCTTTTAATCGTTTAACCTACATTAGGCGAAGAGTAAAAAATAATAAAACTGCGATCAATATGCCCGTTCGAGTAGGGACAGTAAATGGAGACCTTCGAGCAATAGATTTTGCACATCAATTGAAATTGTAAAATCATCATTTTTAATTATTATCATTTTTCGGAATTTGAATTTTTAACTGACCAGAGATTAGGTTTTGTGTAAATTCGAAATTGCTTTTAGAAAGAGTGCGAAGGTAAATGTAAACCATTGGAATTTTTTATGATGATAAGAGATTCAAGAGACGCGATGAGAAAGTTTTGATTATTCAGGATCGACGCATCGCAAACAGGCAACGAAACGAATTTTTAAGACGACAGGGGATCTCCGTACGAGCTGTTACGGGTTGTAACTCGCATTTATCGCCAGTAAAACCGGTCACGCGCGAGAACGCCGCCACGTACCACGCATAATGCATACGAACTGCATAAATTCAAACGACTGTGAGCCGACCGTTCGTTGCCTGCTCACGTCCTGTTTCGTTCACATCTCGTATAAATAGATTTTTTTCTTCTGAATCCAAACCGAAGTAACGATAGAAATTCTATTCAATTTTATCTCTTCTTTGATAATAAATTTATTGGCATTTTCCATTTGCTTCTTTCAACTCGGCAATGTTCACAATTAATTGATACTTGATTCACGCTTTGCAATTGCCCTAATTTTTTATTTCTTGGTTCTACTTTTCGCTGAAGAGGTGCGGCGTTCTCGAAACGATGACGAAAAATGTCTGTCATTTGAAATCTGGAGCAACGATTGCGTGCGAACAATCAACACTGCGATCCGGGTCGCGAAAATCGCTGGAAATGTAATTCCAGGATACGCGTTCAGCGTTTCGTGTCCCGTTTTTCACACGAAGGAACGCAACTTGGTGCCGCTAATTTGAAACAGTATTTTACATGAGGATAAAAAAACCAACCATTCCTCGTTCATAATAAAATTAAATTAAAACTGATGTCCAATCGGGTTAAACAAAATTGGAAAAGTGTAAACGTAGAATCTCTGGTTCTCGTTCGTACAAAATCGAGCCGAGGAAAGATGTTTCAAAGTTTGTGCAGAAACTTAGGAAATTGCTTGTGAACGAGCGTCGTTTATAAAAATAAAAAATCGATAGAAATCCCGGGTAATGGTTGGCACGGCACTTAACCCAGTCCAGAACACCTCCGAGGAGGAGCCAGAAAGGTCCTAGATGACTCTTCTTACGCCGCTCTAGAATCTCGATAATGAATTCCACTTCTTTCGCCGACGAAAATATCTTATGAATCCAAAATCGTAACCCCGTCCTATTAAAATTCGACCGAGTTCCACGTCCGAATTAAGTCAATTCAAATGTTGACCCGAATATGCTGGACGAAATTCGTGTGAATAATTGGAGCGTCGAACGTTTCTTAACCCTTCGAGCGGTTCATTTATACTAAAAATGCAATTCCAGTTCAGAATAACAAATGGATACACCGGAAACATTTTTCGCAGATTGCCAAAGTGCTCAATTCGGGTAGAGAAACCAGGTCTCAGAAAGTAGAACAAAAAAGAAGATGGTATCTGGGTAGAAGAGCGAAATTGGGTTATCAACCTGTTTAAAATGTTAAAAGTTTACTTAATTCAAATAATCTGACGTTTTAATACTCTGTGAACTTTCTCTAATAAATTAGTCTCGCACAAAATTAATTATTTCATCGTTGAAATTCCAAAAACGATGAACACAATGGGTCTGTAAAAAGCGAGCAAGGAAACAGGATGGAGTGGTGGGAGTAGGTCAGAATTAGGCTCGGTCCAGAGTAATTTTTCACCCGTGGAATTGAGGTTGGTGACCCTAATTTCAGATATTAAAACTAGTCCAAATGTTTTCAATACCAAAACTGTTCCTCGCGAAATGTCTTCTTAATAATTCTAAATTATCAGACTGCAGATTTTTAAAACAGGTGCAAGAAATATAAGGAATACTAATGTGTAAAAATTTACACCACATCTAAAGTATAATGCACGTAATTATTTTTGCAAATCTTAATCTAAATTTATGTAATATTTTGCATAAAACATGGTGCATTGCATGTTACATTCTATATATCATACAGTGTATTAATTTCCTATCGAAAATTTCGGAATCGCACGTTCTCTGAGGCATAGAGTTATGAAAATTCCTACGGGAGTAATTGGACTGGATAGAGAAGGAAAACAGGAAGTCAAAAGGAATCCACGGACGTCTTTCGTTTCGACGTCTCGTGGATGTTCGTTATCCACGGAGGGCGAGCGGTCATTGAAACGCGGGAGAGGCATGGGAACGATGCGCTTTGCATCCCGTGTGGAATGTCTGGAAGCCCTTTGAGTCGCGATCGGCTCCTCTTTCACTCTATTTCTTCGTTTATTTATCCGTTTTCACGGTACGCCCAATCGGGAAGGGTCGACCGAAGGTAACTAAAGAAAAAATTGTTTCATTTAGCTGGAATCCAACTGAGAACGTTCCAAACCTCGTCCCGGGCTTCCACGGGCTGTTTTTAATCAAACTTTCTCCTAATCTTTTGTAGTGAACGCACTTTTAATTGTGTTCTTCGCTGTCTATCACGTTCCTCTTTTAACGTCTCGGTCAAACCTTTAAGTTGTAACAGCAGTTGCAGTACTAACAGAGCCTTGACTTAAGTCGTCTTTGGCTCGATATTGCTAAACGTTTCGGAAGTTGAATTAATTAACCCGATCGGAGCAATCAAGAGGCCTGGCGGTTTCACAAACGAACAAGTCAATTCTAAACCGCTGTTACTCCTGGCAAAGGACGCTAAGGTCTGAGCGAATCGGCTCGATTTCGAGATCGTTAACGATCTTCGTCGCGAAGGAAGGAAGGAAGGAAGGGAAGGTTCAGTTTTCGTCGGTCAAACGACTGCTTTTAGCCAGATCGTTAGCGCGCTAGCTCTGCTCGTTTCTGGACCGCTGCCTAAACATACACGTTGTCCATCGAGTTACTACAGAAAGTTACCTAGGAATTTGCTTAACCCACGCCTCCACTCTCGAAGTAAATATGAATCAACTGCGAAACAGGATGCACGCGTGCCGGGAGCACCTTAATTATTCTAATTGCAAAGGCACATAAAGTGTCGGCGAGATTAAAAGCTGCAAGCTCTCAGCAATCTTAGTAACACGTTCAAATATCAACGTTGTTCACACAGTGTCCAAGATTTCAATGTCACTTTCAGTTCGTACGGTATAATAGAATATCGCAGAGATTTCTATTAACGTGATAACTCCTCCGTACTTTGATCAGAGGAATTATTGTAAATCATTCATTGACGTCGATTAATGCTTAAAAAATTCGAATCAATAATCTCCTGTGATTTTATGTAAATTTATTATTTACATTCTGTAGTTGTAAAAAAGAGCGCAATATATAACTGGGAGTCGTGACGGTCGAGCAAACAGGAAACCCATTCACCGTGGAACGGTTAGTGCTCGAATTCGTGGACGATTTAAAGAGACCGAAGACCTGGTTCGAGACCATTCCCTCCCTTAACTTTTCCCATTCTTTCAACCCCCTTTGCAATTCTCCTTTCCCTGTCGCCCGCCTCTTTCTTCCGCGAACCCATCTTTGTTTCCACCGGCCGCCCTTCTCTACCGTTTCGCCGAACCTCGACACGCTTTAACGCGGAAAACTGGCAACTCCTGTTCCAGCTCCGGCCAGAGGCAGTCCAGGTTCTTGTTGCACTTTCAATCGTTCGTTTCTTCTCTGACGCGGCCATTGCCCACCGACTTTCTTATTTACGGGATCCTCGGAACGGGCACCCTCTTTAGGAAGAGTTGTTACGACCCGATCGTTACACGCGTTTAGCTTTGTTTCTCCTCTATCAATTTATCCGAGCGCTCGCTAGAAGACGTAGAGTCGGTGTAAGAACGGTCGTTGGTACATTTACTGGAAATAGTTCGACTCTCTTTTCTTTTATTCCCCAAGTTCGATCTACCGTCCCGTCAACTGGACTTTAGTTTCTTATATGATGTTGAATAAAAAAAAACCGAAAACTTGCAACCGAGAAAACGAACCCGCGGTAATAGAGAAGAAGAAAACGAGGCTGTCCAACTGGGTCAATTCTTGACCGAAAGAGAAAAAGCATCGGGAGGGTAGGTGGTCCGTTGGCTGAAAAACGGCAGCGACTACTGCGTCAGTGGAAAACGATCTTCGCTCGGGCAGCCTCGGCCGGAAAC